AAAAAAAAAAAAAAACACAGTTGTTTCTCATATATTTATTGTTGGTTTCAAATTAAGAAATAAATGAAACATGGATCAAAGTTGTTTGAAATGGTTTGAATATTTTTTTTCCAAAGAACTGTCTTTGGATTAGGGAGGAAGAGTCATCTTGTGATGTTTGTGTTTGTGTCAGTGGCCGGCCGTGTTGAGCGGCGTGGTGATGGAGCAGGAGAGGATGCTCCCCATGCTGCTGGATCTGCTGGACAGCAGCAGTGAAATGCTCCTCAGACCTCTGACCGGCCTGCTGAGGAATCTGGCCAGACACGCTGCGGACAAAGACCTCATGGGTGAGATAATAAAGACTAATCGCTACGGGACAGACAAACATAAACTTCCACCCTTTAAACTAATTCATGCTGTGAGTCAGATCCCAGAGGAAACATAAAACTCTGCAGGAGCTCAATGCTTCTTTTCTTTATCTCTGCAGCTAAAGTATCGGTGAACGTTCTGGTGTGCAAGCTGCCAAGTGACGGTCTTCAGAAAACCCCATCCAGTGAGGTGGTGGTGAACATCTGCGGGGTCCTGAACCACCTGGTTACCTGTAGCTCCCTGGCAGCCCGGGATATCGCCTACTTCAACGGCATTCAGAAGCTACATGGCATAAAGACGTCCCACGATAACAGGTGGGTCCTCCGTCCTGTCAGAGCTCCTCCTCATTGGCTGCTACTGTTTCTCACCTCCAGGTCACTGAGCAAACATAGAGATGTTTTTATTAGAACTCTGCCGATCATTAATAACCGTTTAACAGTGAGCGTCTGACTGCTGTGTTAGCTCTGGTATTTCCTTCTATTTTTCCTCCTCCTCCTTGTTTTGAACGGCCTGCTGTGTCTCTGTTTAGCTCTGGGAGTCTCAGGGCAGCCAGAGCGGCCTCCACCGTCCTCTGCAACATGTTCCAGTACAACAAGCTGCACAGAGATTACAAACTGGTGAGTCCAACTGCGCTTTACATCAACACCCATGAAAGAACACGCTTTGCTCTGATCCAGTTAGGAGTTACTGGGTTCATGGCTGTCCGAGGAGAGGGGGACTAGTCTGGGTCCATTAGTAAGAACCGCTGCCCAGTGGCAGCCTACTGCTCCTAGACAAAAGTCATTGAAAGGTTTAACATTGAAATAAAGATGATTTATTAATATATTATCAGAGCTAATGATGCAAGTTATCAATTAATGAATGAATCGAAAATTAACTGATCTTATCAGTCGAATAAAGATTCTTTCATAAGCAGCCATTTTATCAAAAACTAGTTTTCTTGAGTTTTCCTTCCAGAACATGAAGAGCTAATTTTTTTAAGCTCCTTTTTAGCTAATATTTTTTTCACACCACACTGAAATAAAAAAAAAAATAAAACATCACAGGGGTTAAAGCAAAAAAAAATCCTGAGCCTGAACTTCTTCGACACAGGCAAGAAACTCATACATTTTATATATATATATACATAGAGAGAGAGAGAGAGAGAGAGAGAGAGAGAGAGAGGATGTGCGTATATGTATATATATATATATATATATATATATATATATATATATATATATATATATATATATATACACACACACACACACAGACACATCCTTCTCTCCAAGCACAAAGTTATTAATTTTTTGACTTTTAACACATTTCTCCGTTGAATGGAGTCATAAGCAGCGCAAGATGACTCTCTGTGTAGAACTTCAGCAGTGAACCACAATCTATCTCACGACTTGAGCAAGAAACGAAAGGAAGAGGAACACAATTTTCTTAAGACCCGCCCCCTTCTTCTTCTGATTGGCTAATACTGATAGTTTTAGAGCGCTCCTTTGCTACCATTGGCTGATAAATGCAAGAGGGATTTTGATTGTCTTTTTTAACATTTATATAAAGTCAATTTATATTCGAGTGATTTTTTTTATTTTTTATTTCCCCACGGCCAATCGCTGCCACCCGGAAATATGGCTTTGGCTTGAATACTTAATCCCTGATATCATTATATTTAAACTAAGGCTGGGCAAGTTAATTCGTTACTAACTTGCTACTGTATATACGTTAACTTATCAATCAATTAACACCGACAATTATTTTATCTCGTATTAACGCAGTTTTTATTATTTCTTTTATTACTGTAAAAGTCTGTTGCTCCCAGGCTTTAATTTGGTAAAACTAAAAGTACCGGAACCGGAAGTACAGGAACCAAAAAAGAAAAGAAATTGGCGGATAAACAAACCAACAAACATGTAGAAGGGCGCGGCACTTTTACATGGCCATTTTCATTTTAAAGTTCTTTCAGACGGCGCAGTCGACAGAAGCAACGTTATTTGTAATCACTGCAAAGTTGAATTGTCTTATCACCGGAGTACTTTGAGTCTAAAATATCACCTAAATGCAAAACACACAGTTGATGCCAGCAAATCATTTAACGAAACAGACAGTGGCGCGAGGCTTCAGCAGACTACGTTAGATACAGCGTGTGGGAGAAGCATAGATACACAAATGCCATAGCGAAGTGGATAGCTACAGACTGCAGGCCGATTAGTATGTTTACAGTCTATTTCCCTGCACAGTAAATCCCAGCAGTGAACTTTTTTTTTGTGCTTCACCTCACTCTAACAGGGACATTTGTTACAAGACTGGTTATGCTGCTCCCTGATAAAAAAAAAAATGTTTCTGCTGTTACCTCAGAAATTGCCTGTTTTAATGTTATGATTGTGACTCAGGATTTTGTGAGCAGTTTTTATTTAACTGCTACTGTATAAACAAAATGCTGATGTTAAGTGTTTGCAGAACAAATGTTATGGCACTTCCTTTAACATGGCAGAACATTTGAAATAAAATTGTGCTATACACTACTTTTTAATTCATTATTGTTTTTTTGCGTATAAAAATGTGATTAATTACAATTAATCAGGGAAATCATGAGATTAATCGTGATTAAAACTTTTAATAGTTGACCAGCACTAATTTAAACAATATTTATTTATTTATTTATTTATTAGTTTTTACAGCACTAGTGACTTGTTTTTACGGACAGTAGGCTGACAGGGAAGGGGGTATGAGAGAGGGTGAGAGACATGTTGGAAAGGACCACAAGCCGGATTCGTCGTGTGCGCTAACCACTGCGCCACCAAAGCACGCCCATATTAAAACAGTTTAATGTTCCAGCCATATTAAAGACAGACAGAATGTCAGAATGTCAGGTTTGGTGGATATTTGTTGAGGACTCCGATGCAGAGACGGAGAGGCAGAGATGATTTCTCATAGATTTAATGAAGATGTGGATGGTACAGAAGCTAATAATCTAGAATCCATTACCTTCAGGCACGTCTTGAGCTTCCAAAGCGTCAGAGGCTTGAGTTGGATCATCTGAACCTTTGCTGCTTGACGTAACACAGCCAAACACAGCATCAAAGCAGTCATCTCTCCTCCTGCTGCCAGAATAAAACCATCAGAATTGAACAAGAATCTACATAAACGGGTTAAACTCTAATAGGTTCACATGAAATGCCAGGAGGATGGATGCTCTGATTATTCCTATAAAATATTTTCCTATTGAACAGGGGATAAACAATCTATCTTTAATACCAACATGAACTTGAAATGTCTAAACCTGCAGAGAAAAAAGGTCAGTTTTATATTCTGCTACATAATAAAACCTGTTTGGTGCGAACGCAGCTGCTTCTGAGTGTAAAGCAGCTGTGATGGACTCTGCTGGCCATGGTTCTGAAAGCCAAATATGACAAACATGTCACATCCTGAGGTTTTTCTCAGGAGGAATTAGATTTAGATAGTTTCTGCAGAACGCAGCCTGGATTCTCACTACTGGTCGAATTTAGTTGTTCTGATTTCTCCATTTATGAAGAAAAGCTGCAGAGAAGCCTACTGAGGTCTAATAAAAAACTATGGTGCTACAAATGGGACAAAATAGTCACTTTCCTGTAGATAGTTTGGGTGAAGTGGCAACCACATAATTCCCAGCCACCCATTAAGGCACTCATTAGAGCTAGAGAACGCCAATAAAGGTTCAATCTTGACGCAGTTTAGTTACTGCTCAGCCTTCTTTTCCTGACTCACTGTAACTTGAAGCCTTGCTTTTTTTTACTTTATTTCATGGACCTTTTTTGATATTATTTTGTCCCTGTTCTGATTTAGAAGTCAGAACAGAGACTTTTTAGTTAAACGGATTTATCTGTGTTTGTAGTGTCATCATTTTATCTTTCTCCTTCTTTTTTATTTCATTAGCTAGTTCCCATCATGCCTGTTGATCCACTGGGATTGGGCTGTGTGTGTCTTTAGTGCATGGGCGGGGCTAGAATTAGAGGCCGTTTCTCAATATGTGTACTTGTGCGTTCTCATGTGCTCGTGAAACGTCATCATCCTCAGCCCTAGTACTGTTCTAATTCACAAGAACATCAGACCTAGAACGGATCAAGTCCCCGGATGTTGTTCTCGCCCCTCCCTCTTTACCCAGCATGCAGCAGAGCGGACTTGTCCGTTCTTGAGATTGACAGCTGTCCCAGCATGCACTGCAGCAGCAGCAGCTTCCAAGTTAGCGCTCACAGAGCTCAGAGCTCTGTTGCTGTTGTTCAATAAAAGTACGTTTTAAGATCATTTGAGGCGAGAACATTATAGGTTTAGGCATCACTATATGGACCATTTAATGATTTAATGCGTAATTTAAAAACAAATATTCCGAAGTTTAGAGGACGGCGGCAGCCAATGTACCTCCGAGGGCAGCCTTAAGGGCTGGTTATACTCCCAGCAGCAGTGTGTCGCAGTGAGCTTGATGCAGACATTTTCGATTTATGCTCTATATTGAAGCGTGGTTCAAGTTCTAACTAACCCTAAACCTACCCTAACCCTAACGCCTAACCTAAAACCTTAATAAAACCTGACATTGTTAGTTTACAGCAAAACAAACTTTAAAATGTACGGCCCACTGCTGTCCTGGTCAAACCATTTTATGTTGGGTTGGGGGGAGTTTTAATGGCCCCTTTTTTAAAGAAAACATATTACATGTTACATACTATAATGTTACATATTATGTAATTGTAATTACATATTACATTTTTTTTATCACAAATATTTTCACAAATTACTTCCCCCTGTATTTTTTTATGGTCAGGGTGTCAATTTTGGGCCCCCCCCGTCCTAGCCCTGGGACAGTGGACCCCACCAACCCCCCTGTCAGCGGGCATACAAAAAAAATGTCAATTTCTCTTTAACGCATTTATACTATTATTAAAAAGTCAAAAACTGCCTGACGTGAATAACAGAATTTTTCTGTTTCCGTCAGGCTCTTCTAATGGAAGCTTCAAAATAAAAGCCTGATGAAAAAACATCTGCTATTGTAAATCTTTCTCCTGCTGCTCTCAATTTTTATCATTAAAAAGCAAATATTTCTGACTTATGGCTGATTATTAGTTGCAGGTTTAGAAACTAGAAATGGTTTTAGTAAAAAAGACTGATCTTAAAACAGGATTCTGACGTAACATCTGCTTATGAAAGAATGTAAATATTTGGTTTAAACTCGTAGGCTGTTGTGTTTGTTTGGTTTTTAGATCTATGATACTTATGTGAATATTTCTACGTGTTTTCTCATGGGTTTGTTTTGGTTGGATTTATCTGATTTGAATTATTCTAAATGAATTAATGGATGTAATGATTAAAGCTTTTTGTTTTCTACATGAGTTTGTTATCAAACATTGAAAATAGTCAGCGTGTTTGTATTTGTCTTCTCCGCCCTCACTGCAGTGGAAACAGTTTTCCACCGCCGCCACTTTATTGGCAGAGGAGTGAAAAAAGGCTTGAAGCTGAAAAGTTTGGGCGTCGGCTTGTAGCTGGAAGTCGCTTGTTTCCAGCAGATGGTTTTCTCCTCAGCTTGATCTCAGCTTCCCATTGGTCCACCTTCTTCCTCCCCTCTTTGGTCCTGCTGACCTCTGACCTCTGCTCAGGCTTATCTCTGACGCTGTGCCCAGGCAAACATTACTGTGAAGTGTTTCGTTATGACGTGATAACTTCTGTTGTGGCCGACGTCTGACCGGCTCTCTGTCCGCCATGGTGATCAAGGCTGAGGCATCACAGCTGTTTTAAACAAACCTAAAGAAAAGAAAGACATTCAGGAACGTTTGTGGGGTTTTTTAACTTTGGTTTTAGTGCTGGACTCTCAGCAGGAGTACAGAGAATCGGTTTGTTTCTGCTGAGGCAGAGCTGGCAGTCAGACAGACGGCTCTGCTGCCGTGTTATCACCACAAACTCACTCTCATTCCAAAGTGAACCTCACACAGCAAACACAATCTGCTCAGGCCGAGCTGAAGGCGTCTTCATGTGCGGCCTGATTGTTTTTTTAACATCCGTCACCTTATCAGATTGATTTCTTTTAAACCAAACTTGAAAATAAGCTTCACAAATACAGCGTTAGTTTTAATTTGGCAACAACAGCTTGAATAAATATTAAATATTAAAATCCAGTTGAATATTTTTGCCTGGATGTTGTTTTTGTTCAATGATTGAGGAGCTCCAGCAGCTGGTCTGTTATTACAGGCATGAATAAAAGATAAACAAATGATTCATTTCCTAATAAAACCCCGAGTAAAGGCGCATCGTCACCTTCTTTAACATGTTTTAAACTTCATGCAAAGTTTTATTGGTAGATTACTACTGCTGAATTTTTTGTGTGTGTGTTTTACATTAGATTTTTCTCAGTTTATTAGTAAATAAAGCCCTTTGTCTGTATTTACAATATCTAAGGAAGAGCAGGGGTAAACAAGGAAGTAGTCTGCTGTGGCTAAGCCAGTTAGCATCTCCCAGTGAAGTGAATATATTCAAGTTTTGTCTGCTGGGATTCTATTTAGGCATTAAAAGTACGATCTAAAGGCTCTCAGAATGGAGCCCTGATGAATTTAACCTTATTTCTTCAGGATCCAACTAGTTTTCAGTTCAGTTTTCAATTCGAATCAGTTTATTTCTATAGCGCCAATTCACAACACGTTATATCAAGGTACTTTACAGTTCACCAGATCATACAGTCAGATTGACTCAACGTTTTCTAAGGAAAACCACTTGATTGCATCGACTCATTGACCTGAATTCAATCCCTCACACTAAGCATGCTTGTAGCGACAGTGGAGAGGAAAAACTCCCTTTCAACAGGAAGAAACCTGCAGCAGAACCAGGCTCAGTGTGAGCGGCCATCTGCCGGGGTTCAAGGAGACAGAAGCAGAGTTACAAAAATCAGCTGTAAAAGGCGGCCCCGTCCAGGAAACACACAGCCAGGCAGACGAGCTTTGAGCCAGCTCCCATGCCAGAGGACGAAGAGAGCACATCCAGCCAGTCACATTCAGAGAAACAGGGCCACACTGGAAAACAGGCCGATCTCCAACATCTGTAAATAAAGGTGTTGATGGCAGCAGCACAGCTGATATTTCTCTCCAGGATGGAGTCACAGCCAAACAGGAACAGACCAGATGAAGCTACTATGAGAAAAAGCAGAGAGAGCAGAACGTTAGAGATTGAACTAACAGATTCTGCAGAGTGGGAGAATAGAGACAGAATGAAGCAAAATGATGAAATAGGGGTCTCAATTTTAGTTTTGGTCTGGATTTAAGTTTCCAGTTTTTTCAAAAGATTTTGTGGGTGCGGCTTATAGTGAGGTGCGCTCTTAAAATATGGAAATTCGCTTCGATCAGCAATGCATCATGGGACAGCAGCTGAAGCAGCTAAATAAGCAGCTTAAAATTGTATTGTTCATTTTACTATTCCTGGAGGTTTTCCTGGAAGCTTCATCTGTTTGGACTCAAAGGCGATGTTTGCCGATAAAACAGGTTATCTCGTAGCAACCTTCTTTAACAGGGTTTCCGCTGGTGATTGAAAGTCATTAGATTATTCCTGACATTTAAAATGCTTTATAAAAAAGACGTTTATAAAATATTCGTCCAATATATATATATCTATATATATATATATATATAGATATATATATATTGGACGAATATATATACATATATATATATACATACGTATATATATATATATATATATAGCATTAACAGAGCATTAAAAAGCGTTAAATTAGAGTTACCCACTCCTGTATAAACCCTGTTTAATCGATAGAGGCGATGCGATGGCATCTCCCCACCTAACAGTTATTTACATCCATATTGACCAACAAAATACAACTCAAATTTGATTTTAAGATTTTATTTCTTAGCTGTTAGAGGCATCTGGCATTCAGACCTAATACAACTTTTTTTATTCTTAGTAAAAAAATAAATGAATTTCCAAATAAAGGTGTTTCCTTTCATGTTAGCATTGATGTAACTTGATCGATGTACCCTTACAGTCCCTTTTAGCCAGTATACGGTTACTCTCTGCTGAACAGCAGGAGCTGTTTAATGTTTTATTTTTATCACGTTTCTCTGTGTTTTTCAGAGAGGATTCACCCGACAGAACTTCATCGACTCCAGCTTCTAGTCTGAAGGCGGCGGCAGCAGCGAGGAGGACGACGAGCCGTCCTCTCAGCTGGACTGACAGTCGGAGCCGAACAGGAGCTGTTTGCCCTGTGTGTGTTTAACCCTTTCACTGGTTTGAGTCGTGTTTTTGATTATGTAGTTTCCTTCTAACAGATCCAGAATTAATTGTTGAAACATACAGACAAGCGATCAGTTCGCCGTCTTTTTATCAAAACCTTTTTAGCAGTCAGTGTCTCTACCTGGATTTTCACTCTTTAAACCTCATTCAGACTCATTTCTGGCATAGAGACTGCTGTCGGTTTCACACGTCATCCTTCTGTTCGCTTTTCTCTGTGAATCTAAACTGCTGCTTTCTATTCGTCTGAGATTTTTAAAGTTTTATTAAATAAAATTGATCGGTTACAGATTTTTTCCTTCAAAGGGGACATTTTGAAGCGAGATGATGGCTTCAGATCTACAGCAGTTACCCATTGGGGGTTTAGTAGTTTACATTTAGACTTTAGTTTACAGTTTCTCAGAGCGTTGCTCACTTTTACTGTGTAAGTTCATCACTAACTACTCTTTGCTCCACTTCAAATGGACCACGGTTCACTTCAACCTGACTCGGTTCTGATCCAAATGCAGAACTCAAAAGGCTTTTTGGCCTGGAAGCCACTGTAGTAGTGAACGTAGCACCAAAATCATCCCTGTTCTGCTGTCTGTTGCTTAGCAACACTGCTGCCAGCATCGGTGTATCTTCATCTTTTAATCTCCCATTAAAAAAGTCTTTAAATCTGGATTGAAGGAGCTGCTTTACTCAATCAGGTGGTTGAACCATTTTGATAGCAGCATAACCATGGAAGAAAAAGATGTCCTCCCTGTGGAGTTTTCCTCCTTTTCTGGTGTTACTCAATAGTCTGTGACCAGGGGGCGCTACAGCTGTTTTTAGGTTCAGATTCCTTTGCTGCTGCACACAGTGTTGTCCTTTACAATCAATTACCCCATTTACACTACCCTCTGAAAACTGATCCATGCCGAGCTATGTTCCTTACGATCATTTACACACCATACTAGCACAGTTCCTCGTCTCCTAGTGGCGATTTACGGTACTACTGCTCTCTAGAGGGAAACAAGCAAACCAACATGGTGGCGCCCGTAACATTCAGGAAGTTATGTTTTGTTATCATTGTGATATTTTGTTGTTTGTGGAGAGTCAGGCAAAGAAGGCAGCATTTGGTGAATTTACTTGTCGGCTTTTGGGAAGTTGATACGACAAACGATAGTCTAATCAGGGCTTACAGACGCAGGAAACGACGGACGTTGAGGTTCATCCCACTGCCAAGCAGAATCATCACTGGAAATCATGTGGCACGATAGGGAAGCTAGTATTTTTATGAATGTCTGAAATTTCATGATTACGGAGGCCAAATGTAAGGAGATGAAGCAGTCTACTCATGCGCTCTTTGTTATCAGACAACCGAGCCAGAACTGAACCGTGCCGAGGCCTACTGATGAACTAGTATCATGTTAGCGCGGTTCGGTTGCGCCCGCCATTTACACTCAGCAGTTATCTCGATTAACGTGCTCAGACCGATCTCAGCACAGTTTCAAAAGGGTAGTTTAAATGGGGCTGAAGATTGGATGCATTCAGCTGGTTTTCCTTTGAACTTTTAATCTGACTGGATGTTGAATTGTCACTGGAAAGTCACCTGAGATGACGTGTTGACACAATGACACAATTGGTACACATGGTTTTTGTTGGGAGGTATAGTCGTCTGTAAAAAAAATATAAATCAATGCCATCAGGACCAAACAATTGAACGTAAGGGCTTTCTCTTGGTGTGACGCCACCCTGAGTCCTTTCAACCCTTTCTATGCACTAACCCTGACAATAAGCCTTAACCCAACCATTCCTAAACTAAACCTAAACTAAATTAACAACTTTATCCTGACGCTAACTTTGCAACAAAAGGAAACGGGGAAGAGCAAAATGGTACAAATTCCTCAGTTTAATGGTGAAATCAGGATGATTCTCAATCTGTAGCAAAAAACAGCAGCAAAACATTGACATTTTAAATTTCTACCATATTAGAACTCTACAGTGACCATCATTTATTGTATTCTAATTTCACCATTACGTAACCTAGAGTTAATTCACACCATGCCTCTAAACCAACCTCCTAACATTAGAAATAGGTCTCCGCCATATTTGGGCCATACAGGGCTTTGGTCCACATAAGAGCTGTCTGTCCTCAGAAGGATGGTAAATATACTGTAATGCAAATAAAATCATCATTATTTCAGAACTGGAAAGTGTTTATGGATTATATATGTGTAGCTCAATGTTCTCATGTATAAACTGGGGAAAGTGAAGCTGTGAAAAACTATAAAATCTGTTTGCTTGATACGGAGGCCGAGAGCGGTCGTACTCAACTTTGTTTTTCTTTGGCCTTCTCGAGATAATGACATAACTATCTCGTTATCAGGATTAAAAAAATTTATTGTTTACTCCAGATGACAAGGTAATTATCTCGTTATCACAAGAAAACAGTTACTGTATTTTCGCGACTATAAGGTGCATATAAAACGCCTTTTTTTCCCCTCAAAATGTGCGGCGCGCCCTATGTGTGTTGTTACTGCGACGTTGTTGAGACCGCCATAAGAACGTTAAAAGGGGAAGTGTGGGCGTGGATTGTGTATAAAAGAACAATGGTGATTTTTAAGAGAAAGAGACTCTAAAGAGACTTTTCCAGCTGGAGTCGTTATTAAGGCAAATGAAAAGGGCTGGATGGATGAGGA